AAAAAATAAAATAAAAATAAAAATCTTGAGCATGAGAAAATAAAGATGTAAATGTTCAGGTATACAAATCTTTTTGGAGAGTTAATTATGATTCTTGAAAATTATCAAACTGGTTCAACCCATGTATTAAAAAATAACATTCATTTCTCTAACTATGCAATATACAATTAACAGCTCCATTATTTTAATTGCAAAAGACTGAAAAATTGGCTACCAGTAAATATATTGTGATATAAGCATGAGATTGCTATGTACCTATTAAAAAGAATGATGAAGTTTTAAGTGTACTAATGAAAATGACAATCAAAAAATATTCAGTGAGTAAAAAAGCAATGTTTAAAATAGTGTAATTATACACAGCCATAGTGATTGCGTTTTTAGAAAATAAACACAGACACCTACTTGTCTGTATATGACAAAGACTAAATTCTACGTTGAAATAATTTGTCTATGATGGTACCAGAATTAAAAATGAGGCAATTCTTAACAGGTGTTATAAAAATCATTTCAGAATTCTATCTTATAAACACTGTTATAATACTCTGCCCTGTATAGGTATTTTTTTTCACTGTTTGTTGTATGACAATATGTTGATTTCTACCTAGGTATACACTCACCAACATGTGGGCTAACAGGGCTATATTGTTGAACTAAAGTAAGAATTTACATTGTGTGAATTAACACAATGTTACTGTGCTAACTTATCAGGTACACCAGTCTATCAAACCACAAGGTAAGCTCCACATGCCAGTGTCTGCAATGTTTTTAAGTAGACTGTATCTTTTTCTTGGAATGGTAAGAAAAAAATCTATAGCAACATAAAACCAAAATGAATAGTACAGGGCCTGGGGATATTGCTCAGTGGCCTAACCAGCTGCCTGGCAAGCACAAGGACCTGAATTCGATCTCAGGTATGCCCCCACCAAAAGAATTGGTCTTAGGAGCTCTTTAAATTCTTAAGATGTATTTAAACCTCACTCATTTTTATGAGGGTTATTATATATCAATATTTACTATGTAAGAAATTAGATGTTTAATTTTTTAAGTATTAATTCATTTAAAGTAATACATCTTAACATACTTTTACGAAAACTACTTACAAAAACAGAAAACCTGCACTGTATTACATTTTAAAAATCTCATTAGAGATTGGCTTAATGAAAGATATTCTTGTATCTGTTTCTGCATTCAATCTGTTGTGACATAATGTTTTAGTTGGAGTTCTTGAAGAAAATCTAATATTGTATACATGTAGTTGAAAACCAGTATTACAATAAGATTTTAGATAATCATGAATTTTTGATGACACATTAAAACTCAAAACAAGTAGCAACACAGAATCTGAAACAGCACTGATGAGCTTTTCTATGCCCTGCTGCAGTCTGTCTTACACTTTAAGTGGATCTTTTACTCATGTATGATTACATATCAACATGAACTGGTCATCAAGAAAACAGGGTTAGGTATGAATATCTTCCAAACATTGATTTATTTAATTCTACACTAAAAATATCATATTTGTTAACATAACCACTGATATTATCAGAAAAATGGTTATCAGAAAGCTGCTAATTTCAAACTGATGAATTCAACTTTTCCAAAATCTTTATTCTTGCCTAAAAGTCTGACCACCAAGCAACACACGTTATCAGTTGTTTTTCTTTAAGTGATACTCTCTTACTAATTTTTGAGAAAAGATATGCCAAAAACTCAAGTGTGAATGACTAGCTTGTCTATCAGCTGTATTTCAAATAAAAAATGATCTGCACTAAAAAGTAGGTGGCTCAACTTGCAACTCAAATTGCACATGTACTTTTCTTAGAGATATCATAATCTTGCTATGGAACAGTAATATTTTATGACCGTTTCCAATTTTGGCAAACAGAATATTAAAGAAGTATGTTTACTGAAGGGTCAAGATTTAATAAAGTGACAATTCTTAATGTTCCATTATGAGAATCCTTAAATGAAAACATACTTGTCTATGTTTCAACAGTGTGATAATTTATTACTACCTTGATTCACAGTCATATATTAGCAGCTTTATCAAACACTGGTTTCTGTAATGTCAGTGTAAATGTTAACATGTCTAAATGGTATATAATGTTACTACTGTTATGAAAGTAATTTCTGATCATAAAAGCTCCCTGAAAATTCTCAAGGATCCTACACTTTCCATTCCATATGGAGACCTACTGAATTAGATCCATAAATTTCAAGTAAGAAAGAGAAATACTTCAATCATCTCAAAGGTAGGTAGCATCATAACAATGTACTAGCACAAACATAGACATATACACTCATGGAAAAGAACAGAAAACAACCTCAAGCACCAACAGCCATCTATGTTTTTACAAAAAGAACTAAAAACACATATTGGAGGAGACAGCTTCTTTAACAAATAATCTTAAGAAAATTGGAAGGGGCCGGGGAGATGGCTGAGTGGAATAAGTGCCTCCCTGGCAAGCGTAAGGGCCTGAGTTCAATCCCCAGTTCCACCAAAAAAAAAAAAAAAAAAGAAAATTAGATAGCCTCTTGTAAAAGACTGAAAATAGATGCCTATCTCTCAATCTATACAGAACCAGAACAAAATAGATCAAAGACATTGATATAAAAACAGAAACTGCTGAGAAACAACAAAAGGGAAACACTCAAAGCCATAGGAATACATAAAGACTTCCTGTATAGACTCCCACAGCAAAGGAAGTAATACCAAGAATCAACAAATGTGACTATATCAAACTAAAAAGTTGCTTAGCAAAAGAAAAACAAAATGGCCAAAAACTACGTGAAAAAATGTTCAATATCCTCAGTCACTAGGGAAGTGTAAATGAAAATAATTTTGGGATTCCATCTTACCCTAGTCAGAATGGCTATCATCAAGAACATAAAAGGCAATCTATGCTGGTGAGAATACAGAAAAAGGAACCCTCCTACATTGATGGAAATACAAACTAGTATAACCAGTATGTACATCAGTATGGAGATTCTAAACATCGTCTATCTACCCATATGGTGTTAATGGTTAATTATCTACAATATGATTTCTTTGCTGATACTGAAACAATTTTCACTGGTACATGATCTGGTTGAAATGGAATTTTGAGGATCATTAGTAACAGCTTCTACGTGAATAACTGCAATTGAGTAAGAGAAGAAATCACACCTTTACGTGATACAAATATGAACAGGATGAAAAAACTCACAAACCAACCTGGAAGACTGCAATCTAAATAAAATATTTCTGTTGAGTCTAAAAATAAAGGTCATTTGACTAAATATAGGTCAGCATACAGAGAAACTCTCCGAAGGCTTTGCTGCTATAAGCAATGATTTACTAGGTGGATTCTGGCCAATGATATATTTGTCCTTTTATTCAAAGAAGTCACCAAAAATACCTATTTAAATAATGAAATCGGGGGCTGAGGAGATGGCTCAGTGGAATAAGCACTTCCCTGGCAAGTGCAAGGGCCTGAGTTCAATCCCTGGTTCTGCCAAAAAAAAAAAAAAAAAAAAGAAAAATTTCCACTTTAATTTTTCCAATTCTGCATAATTAACAGAAGTACTCACTGGTATGTATAGTAAATAAGAATTTATAAGAAAGAAAAAAGTAATTCATATGCAGCTGTCAAACCTATGGCATGTGTGGCCCAGCTGGCTGTTATGCTGAAAGCCTAAAAAGGTCTGCTACCATTGATACAGAGAGTACTTGTACATGCTCACTCCCACTGCTCCAACAAATTAAATTTCTTAAATTAAGCAGATTCAGAGAGACCATGGATTATATAAAGGCTAATAGCCTGTCTAAGGTGGACCATACAGAGGAGCTGAATTTGATTCTGGTTTTTAAAAAATCTTTGGCACTTTTCTTTAGATACATTAATTCAAATACAGGGTAGTATTGCATGTTCCTCACAGACTGACTAGATACACAACCCTGCACTGCTCTCATCCTGAGATAGTCTTCACGGGGTTTTAAACTCAGAATCCTGAGATCAGGAACAGCTAACTTACGAGCTATCTTAAGCTACATGGACATCTATTTGGGTGTTTTAAGTGAGTATATGCATATATTTATAGAAAATAGTTCCAAGTTTTGTAAGATTATTAAGGTCCAGAACTATCTAAATATCTAATATAGGAATACTTCCTCATCTAATAAATTTATTTTTACTTTTTAATAGCTCAAGATCTAAATGAGTTTTAGATCTTCTTAAACTTGGCCCTGGTAACTTCTGTGACACTGATCATAATGCTTTGTAAAAATTAAAATAAGACAGGCATGGGGGCACATGCCTATAATCCCAGCACTCAGGAGGCTGGGGCAGAAGGATTATTTCCTGTGAGACCAGTATGGGTCCAAAGTGAGCTCAAGGCCAGCCTGAACTGTATAGTGAGATCCTGTCTTAAAAAGAAAAATAAGGGCCGGCAAGATAGCTCAGCTGACTAAAGTGCCTGTTTAGGCAGAGCACAGTGGCCAGGTAGTGCTGTTCCCCTCCCCCCACCAGTATGCTGAGATGGCAAATGAGACTGGGTGTGGTGGTACAGGCCTATAATCCCAGTGTTTGGGAGGCTGAAAACAGAAGAATCACTAGGAGTCCGATCTATGTAGTGAGACCCTGTAGAACCCATACTAAACACATTTAAAAAAAAAAAAAAAGAAAAGAAGTACTGTATGAAAACCGCTGATTTGCATTTTTAAATCATTAAGCACTTTCAATCAAAAGTCAGAACGATTTAAATACCAAACAAACCGTCAAAATTTTGACAAATTTTAAGTACTTGTACAAACTACCCTAAATAATTACCTAAAGCTCCCATCCTCATCTGAAATTCCATGGAAGAACTGTTACTACAGCTGGCACATCAGGTTTTCAGAAGATACCAAATTCTAAACAGGGTAATGCCTTCAAATCTCAATCAGTGTCACAGACCTCGCCAGACCAAAAAAGACTGTGACAAAATGATACTCCTAAAAAGCAACATATTCACATTTAGTTTAAAGCAGAATCAGACACTGCAAACACAGGCTTTCGGGGCTGGGGATATAGTTCAGCAGCACAGCTCCTGCCTGGCAAGCGCAAGGTCCCGAGTTCAATTCTCTGTACCAAAAAAATAAATCAATAAACAATCAAACAAATACATGCTTTCACTGTAATGTAAACTACATAAATTGCCAAATCTGAAAAGTTACTTGCTATAGGGTCCTCCACTTCCTCCATAATCATAGGATTGTTGAGACTGGTCATCGATGCTGTAACTTGTCTGGTAGAAATCCGTGTTTAAGTTATCAAAACCTGACATTGCAAAAGACCTGGAATAGAAGAGAAACGACAGCGGTTATGCGCAAGGTCCTACTTAATTTACTCCTGGCACTCTGATTAAGGAAATATTCTCAGCAGACGGTAAACATTTCCTGTCTAGTCGTAGGCAGTAGCACTCAAAAAAGGCTTAAGGAAATTTCTAGTGTCTACTCAGAAGGCCAAGAAGATAGACACTTCGACCTCAAAGAGCTGAGACGCTCGGGCGGGGGCGAGGTCGTGGGAACAGTGGCCCGACAGCGATCTCAAATATCAGTAACAAAGACGATGCCTCATCTGGCAGCAGAGCTTCACGGGGGCAGCACGAACGTCGTCTAGTAAAATAAAGCTCACAGCCTGCCAGGAAAGCGCAGAATCCCAGACGGCCGCGCAAGAGGCGCAGGGGCCGCGTCTGGGCGAAAGGACCAGGGCGCCGCGCCGAAAGAGGGCTGCACGCTGCGCCGCACGGCTATGAAAGTATGCGACGGGCTGGGACACTCACCCGAGGCGGCGGACCAGCGGCGGCCCCAAGTCACCCGCAAATTCGACTCCGAAACGTACACCAGCCGGTCGCTACGTGTCACAGGGCCAAAGAACTGCTTCCGGGGCACGCGGGCTCGCGCAGACGCGCAGGCAGGTTTCGCGCGCTCCGGTTGGACGATGGGCGGAGCTAAGCGGCGGGAACAAGATACAGCACATGCGCAGTATCAACCAACTGGCCCGTACTGGGCCAATGGGAAGCGGGGAAGTGCTTGCGGCGCTCTAGGCAGCGCTGGAGGCCGGAAGACCCAGGCCCCGCGATTGCTGTGGTAGTTGAGTGCGGCAAATTCTACTTTGTTGGCGGTGGACCAGGAGGGCGGAGAAATGCCTAAGTTAAACCGACAGAACCCCTCTGCCGTCCTCAAACTAGCGCCGCTGGCTCTGAGTGTGATTTAGACGTAGTACTAAAGAGTTTGTATGTATTATTTAATCTTGACTGCCCAAGTTAAGTTTGTGCTCTTACTATACTTTGTTTGTTTGTACCGGGAGTCGAACTCGGGACATCCCGCTTGCCCTGCACGTGCTGTGCCTCTTATCTGTATCCTGGGCCTCTTATCTGCTTTTTATAAGTGAAACTTAGGTGTTCGCTTATTCTGTGCTAGCTGCTGGGGTTACCTGGTAAACACAAGCCAGTCCTGAAGGAGAGGGAGACTCAATACACATACAAATACGTGTAGAGTTAGTATTAGTTGTCTTAATGCCTCATAATTCTTTCAGGGAGGTAATATTTATCTAGGAAGACGAGCCTAAACACCCACTCAGAGAGGAAGGTGTTGCTAAAGAGTTGACTTAAGAAGGGGAAGGGTAAAGACAAAAGTAGGGTTTCTCCTCCTGGCGTCCAGGGGATTCTTTTCCCCCAGGATGTTTCCCAGCATCCGTGATCTGCAGGCGTTAGTTTTCAATTAGTAACGTTCCTCGCAAGTAGTACCAAAAATTTGTACTAGACATTGCTAGATGCTTTTTAGGGAATGACTGTAGCTCCGTTTGGGAGCCACTTGACTAAATGAAGCCAAGGTGATTGGAACAGCCTAGAAGGGAACAGCAGAGAAATTGGGGCCTGAACGATAGAACCAGTAAGTAAGGAAACTTGTGTAACTGCGGTGTTAATTTTAAAAGAAATGGGAAAACATTTAAATTTATGAACTGATAGGTGACAACTAGATGGTGGTGTCCTTTTAAAAAAGACTGCTTTTGGCTGCTGTGTTAAATCCCTTTCGCAAGGGGGTGGAATCCTGAATGCTGTAACTTCAAACACCCCACAATTAACCTATAAGCAGAACTGCCTTTGGGATAAGAACACTGAAATTTACGTGGGGAGCACTTTCATTATACCCTTTGTTCAGAACTGTATTCTTCACGAAATAACTCAGACTGTTGTTCTGTGGCCAGTTTCAAAGGAATGATAAAATGTACAGGTTAAAACTTTGCTTCAACACCACAGTCAAAAAGCAAAACAAAAACATTCCCTTCCAAACAAAATGTGAACAGCTCGTGGCAAACCGAAACTCTCAGCAGTATATGTGAGAGACACTTTGAGGTCTCTATCAGCGCACTTCTGAAATTCCTCATCTTTAACTATATATCACTTTTTACCAATCACTTTAGCATTTGTTTATGTAGCCATCCTGTAAAACTTTAGGTAAATAACCAGATATTCTGTTTTGCTAGGGATTATCCTATCCCATTTTACTGGGATGTCTGTTTTTCCTCAACATAACAATTAATATTGTTCCCTTTTCGTTTGTAGGAATATACCAGTTTGTCTTGATAATTTATCTGGTTATACTCTTTAATTACATTATCCATGAAATTGTTCTAGTTCTCAACAACATGCAATAATGTACCAATTTTTGTCCACTGTATGATTTTATGCTTTAAAACATCTAGTCTCCATTTTTTTGTCTGTTGCTTTTATTTCTTCCTATCTAAAGGACATGAAACTCAAACTTGAATGAAATACAGGAATATGAAGGGTAAATAAATATTGGCTGCTTAGGAATGAATTGTTGGGTATGTTATTCAGGTTTTGTTTCTGCAAAAGTAGTTATCATACTTAAGTTTCTTCTCTTCAAATTCCTTTCCTAGTTGAGAAACAAAGCAAGAAAATTAATTTACCTGATTTAACCCACCATGTTTTTTTGAAACACAAATCAAAGTATGCTATAGAGATCCCTGGGATGGGCCAGGGAGATGGCTCAGTAGATCCTGAGTTCAATTCCTGATACTGAAAAAAAAAAAAAAAAAAAGAAATCCCTGGGAGATTTTGAGAATGTCTGTTAATTTAATGGCTTAAAATGTTGGCCTTCCTTTTTGGAAAATGTTTTTGATGTCGTTTCCCTTGTATGCAATAGGCTCCAGAATGTTATAGCAAGGATATTAGAGATCATGGTTCATATGCTGAGGTCTACGGAAGTCACTGAGTTGTTTGTTTGTTTATTTATTTTTAGAAAACCTCAACAGGCCAACAGATTATTGGAACATGAGTTGGGGCCTGTAACAGCTGATTTCTGCTGTTCTGAGACTTAATTGTCAATCACCAAACTTGTAATGGAAAAGAAAAGGACATTTTAATCATGAATAATTTATTTGAACTAGCCTAACAGTCATGCTAGTATACACATTAACACTTTTATAGACATTACATACACATCCAGAGTAACTCTATTTTCTGAAATGGCCTGGTGGCACATGCTTATAATCCCAGTGCTGGGGAGGCTGAGACAGCAGGATTACTAGAAGTCTAAGCTGCGCAGTGAGACCCTTTACCAAATAAAGTAACTCCATTTTCCTAAGAATGTATGAAATTGTGTGTAGATATTCTGAAACATCTTTCCTCTCTGTTTTATAGGTACCATGTCATGGGGGACTGCCAACAAAGTTTCTTTGAAAATAGCCATTTTCCTTACCATCAGTGATACCTGCAACTACTAATTGAGGTGAAGGTTTGGCAGCTGTGTCCCTATCATGTCAAGTAATAAGATGAATGAAATTTGGTATTAGTAAAAACCAATATAATTGTTCAATGTCCATTTTCATTATTCTTCCACATTAATTATGTAACTCCACATCCCAAGTATGATAGCTCTGTTCCCCCCTGAAATTATCTTGTATCTCTTAAGAAAAGTTTAATTAAACAGCTGGCCAAATAGCTCAGTGTATTACAGCGCCTGTAAGCAGACACAGGGGCCAGGGGTTCGACAGTTGTGACTGGGCATGGTGGCACATGCCTGTAATCCCAGCTCTTGAGAGGCTATAGACAGGCAGATCACTGCAAGTCCAATGTAGTAGTGAGACCCTAAACACCCTGTATTGTCTACCGTGTGAGAGTAAAGGTTCTCAAAGTAGCTATTGACAATCTTCTGAATTTCTACTGGGTCTGTAGTAATTACCCTTTTCATTCCTTATTGCTTGGATTTGAACTTTTTCTTTCCTCTTTTTGATGAGGTTAGCTAGGGGCTTATCAGTTTTATTTAATCTTTCAAAGAACCAGCTTTTTTTTTTTTTTCAGGGATTGTATTATTTTATTAAACTTTTTAAAATTTTTTTTTGACATCATACAGAATTTTACTTAACAAAGTAATATGAATTTCACAGTATTTGTTGTAATACATGGTATTGTCTTACAACCAGCTATTCATATTACCAGATATTGGAAGAAGAAAAAACTGGAGCAATGTATAAAAAATTAAGAAAAGAAAAAGTACAAACAATTGAAAAAAAGGAGATGAAGCTAATTAGAGCATTGACTGCTTCTTTCTATTTCCATTTTTTTTTTCAACCAGCTTTTTGATTTGTTAATTCTTTGAACTGTTTTCTTCATCTCAATTGAATTAATTTCTGCTCTAATCTTTATGCTTTCTTCCCATCTTTGGATTCTGGGTTTGGTTTGCTTTTCCTTTTCTAGATGTTGGAGGTGCATCATTAGGGTGTTTATTTGTTCCCATTCTGTTTTCCTAATGTATGAGTTCACAGCTATGAATTTCCCTCTGAGAACTGCTTTCATCGCATCTCATAAGTTCTGATAAGTTGTGCTCAAATTTTCATTGAATTGTAGATATTGTTGAATTTCTTGTTTAATTTCATCTGTGACCCATTGGTTGCTGAGTAGGATGTCATTTAATTTCCATGTATTTATGGGGTTTCCTGGTTTCTTTTGTCATTCATTTCCAGTTTCGTTGCACTGTGGTCAGACAATATGCATCGGATAATTTCTGTTTTCTTGCATATACTTAAGCATGACCTATGGACCAGTATGTGGTCTATTTTAGAAAATGACCCATGTGCAGCTGAAAAAAAATGTATATTCAGCTGTTGCTGGGTAGGACACTCTGTATATGTCCACTAAGTCCATTTGTTCCAAGCTCTGATTCAGTTCTGCTACTACTTTGCTAATTTTTTGTCTGCTTGACCTGTCTTTTTGGGATAAGGGCATGTTAAGATCTCCTGTTAAGATAATGGTATTGGATATTAGACTTTTCATATCCATTAAGATTTGTCTTATATAGTTGGGTGCTCCCGTGTTTGGTGTGTATACACTTATGAGTGTTTCTGTTGCAGGCAGCCAAGTTAGACAGAAATATTATAGGCAGTCAGACAGGGTCAGGCCCTCAAGGCGACAAGATGGAAGACAAGGTGACTTTGCAACTTGGAAGAGACAGACACTTCCATATGGGCCACACCTCAAGACCAAGACAAAAAGAGGAAGCACAGCTACATACTTCCCTAAGGATGGGCATTAGGGATTGATACCCTAAATAGTATCAATCAACTTGAAAAAGCCCAAATGAGTCACTAGCCCAACCCCCGACAGGAAGAGACCCTGTTCCTTATTCCTGCCTGCTTGCTACATGACTCGTTTTCCCATTTGATACTGGATTTAATCAATTTCACCTGAGCAGTGGTGCTTGTAATCTCATTGGTTGACCATAGTTTTGTCCCACCTCATGCCCAGCTAAGCAAGTTCCCATGTCTTCTCCACCACCTTAGACCCACCTCACCACATAGTTTTCCTCTATAAAAGTCCCTGCA